TCCCCCTGCTCTCTGCCCTCTCACCCAACCGGTTTGGTGACGTCGGAGGCTGCCAGCCGCTGGCTGGGCGAGTCTGGGCTCGCAAGCCTGTGTGTCTGGATCCTCCTCCGCGCTCCTCCTCATAAACAAGCCGGGCTCGCCCCCAATCCAAGGCGCAGCCCACACCTTGGCACCCCCGCCTGCTCCTCCTCTCTTCCCCGCTACCGGCCTGGAGGTTTCGAGGTGACTCAGTGGGCCCAAGAAAGTGGGTCAGCCCAGTCTGTGCCAGTCGAGACCCGGAAGGGGGTCCCTTCCCGGAGGAAGATGTGGAAAGGAGGCCCGGTGACAGTCGCAACGCAGTTCCCTCCAGTGCGGGCTGTGGGAGGTCGCACCGGGACAAAGGCCTGCGTTGGGGCCGTGAGGACGCGTGCCCTTCTCAGTCCCCTTCTCCACTCCTTGTGTTTGCTGGCCCTTCTCTATGCCATCTTGCCCACTTCCAGAAGGGAGTGTCCCCTCTTGTCCAGCCCTGAGAGGGCTCTCCCAGAGCTGCATTTTTTTTTTTTTTTTTTTTTTTTGGAGACAGAGTCTCGCTCTGTCGCCCAGGCTGGAGTGCAGTGGCCGGATCTCAGCTCACTGCAAGCTCCGCCTCCCGGGTTCACACCATTCTCCGGCCTCAGCCTCCCGAGTAGCTGGGACTACAGGCGCCCGCCACCTCGCCCGGCTAGTTTTTTGTATTTTTTAGTAGAGACAGGGTTTCACGGTGTTCGCCAGGATGGTCTCGATCCCCTGACCTCGTGATCCACCCGTCTCGGCCTCCCAAAGTGCTGGGATTACAGGCTTGAGCCACCGCGCCCGGCCCCAGAGCTGCATTTTTGGGATAACTCGACCCTTCTGGGCCTGGTTCCTGGCCAGCTCCCCTATTCCTCCTAGCAGCCCATGGCTGAGCGAGGCAGGCCCAGCCCTTCCCAGGGCGCGCCTGTGGGAAGGGATCAGGGCTGCTCCGTGTCCCTTGGCCACGCCCCCTTGGCCACGCCCACCCCAGCCCCAGAGCCCCACCTTGGGGGCAGGCAGATGGTCCAGGGTGCCTTCCACAGGGTGGGTGCTGCCTGCCTCCACTGCTGCCTCCCAGGCTGGGGGAGCCCCACAGGGTATTTTTAGACAGGGTGGAGAGAGTGGGGTGGAGAGGGGCTGGCGGGAAGGGAGGAGCAATGGGGCTGGTTCAGTCATTGGAATGGAATTTGGAGAATTTGGCCGTTCTGGGGAGGCCATGGGGCTGGGGGGCAGATAGCCTGGATTTGGGGGTAGAGGTATACACCTTGACCATGCTGATGTGGGCTTAGCTGTGTGGCCCAGGCATCCCCCTTTCAGGCCCAAGTCCCTGGACACTGGCAGCTTCTGGGCCCTCAGAGGGTCTGTAGTACAGAACAGACCCTGCACCCCAAGGCTCACAAGGCTGTCACAGGGTGGAGAGACACTAGGGACTGGTGACATGGGCGTAAAAGGCACAAGGACTTGGCGACATGCTCAGTGACACATCTTGACAAGGCCGCCAGTGTAGGAGGCACATTGGAGGCGCTCAGTGCTGCCTTCCTGTCCTTCCTGGTCTTTCACCACAGAAGGGAAGGGACTTGTCCAGGGTAAAGACAGAGTAAGGGCAGGACATCCACCTGGGGCAGGCTCATTCACACGCCTCCACAAATCCATGCACTAAGAGCGTTGGAGCTGGTGACACAGGCAGGAAGCACTGCTGGGGGCTGGGAGGATGGGCGTGCCTGGCCAGGACTGGCCCTACCCTGCTACTGTCCTGCTGACCTGTACCACAGCCACCCAGTCTGTCTGCAGGGAAGCCTGTCAGGGTGCCTCGGCCCTCCTTCCTCCTACCTTACAGCTCCTAATGCACCCCTCCCCTGAAGAGCAGCCCCTCTAGGTCCTGGAGGCGGTAGGATGCAGCTGAGACTCCCCAGCCACTTTTGCACGCCCTGCACGTGCAGCTTGGAGTGAAGAGAGTGGTGAACAGAAGAGCAGTGTTTTGGGGAGGGACCTGGAGTGGCTTCCCAGTGGGGTGGGGGTCTCCAGCCTCTGGCTCCACCCTTTGCCCACTCCTCATTTTCTCTCTCACCCCAATCTAGGCCGAAATGAGTTGATTGCACGCTATATTAAACTGAGGACGGGGAAGACTCGGACGAGAAAACAGGTAGAGAGACGGTTTATGCTGGGTCCACCACCCACACACTCTGTCTCAGCTGCCCCGGTCAACCCCTTGCCCCTACCCTGCCCACCTCCTCGAGGCTGCCCCCGACCTGGCCTGCCACCCTCCTTGCCTCATCACACTCCCCTTACGCCCTTGATTTTACCCCCTCCCACTCCCAAGCAGCTCCATTCACCCTTCCCTCTTCTCTTGGAGAGATGGCCCCACTGTCCTTTCTGACCACCCACTACCCTGCCCAGGGCCTTTGGTTCAGGGACCACAGATAAGCCCACGGGGCTGCTGTGGCTGCTACATGGTCTCTGCCCTGAGTCACCAGCCAGGGAGCCAGACGGTCAGATGGACGGGTACAGAGCAGGGTGGCGGGGCTGAGAGGAGGTGGGTGCAGGGCACTCTGGGACAAGCAGCCAACCCAGACAAAGCTAGGGGAGTGGGGAGAGAGAGCTGGGAAGGCTCCCTGGAGGAGGTGACACTAGGGATGTATTTTTAAGAAGGAATGGGAGTTAGCCAGGCAGAGAAAAGGGAGAGGACCCTTCCTTCCAGGCTGAGGAAGTTGGATATACAACTAATCATCATGGTAAACCCATACAGAGCTTCCTTTAAGTTAATTCGTTTAATCATCTCAGCAACCTTCTTAGATAGGTACAGTAATTATCTCTTTTTTATGATGAGGAAACTGATGCATAGGGAAGTTAAGTAGTTTCCTCAAGCCCCCGAGGCAGGAAAGAGCCATGCCTGTGGGCAGCATGATGTGGCAGAGGGAGGGTGGGGACTGCTGGGGTAGGGGACACTCAGCAGGAGACATGGAGGACAGGTTCCCCAAGGGGCAGCGGTGGGCCACAGGAGGGTATGGAGCAGGGAGTGGCAGGTGGCAGCTGTTGAGGAAGGCCCTCAAGCAGCCGGGACAATGGATTAGAGAGGGCTGGGTGGAGACAGGGAGGCTGGCTATTGGGGGCATAAGCAAAGGCCTAGATCAACAGTGCCAGGGCCTGGGACAAGGGTAGTGATGGTGGGAACGGAGAAAAATGATGATGTAAGAGACAATTAGTGGCTTGTGGTCCAGGGAAGGTGGCAGTGTGGTGACAGAAATCTGAAGGGGAGTGGATGGGAGTGATGGCCCCACCGCCTGGGAGAGAGGCCAGGCTGGAGGCAGGACCTGGAGGAATGGAGGCCAGTGCTTCCCTCACGCTCCCAGCCTCCTGTCCTGGTGGGATTTGGACCCACAGATCCCCATGGTGCATATGACAAGTCTGGCCTGTTCCACCTCCTTCTCAAAGGAAGGTTCTGAGCTTCCCCACCCAGTGTAGGGGCAGCAAAGACCCCCCATGCATTCAAGCATTTATGAACCACCCTCCCTGAGTCTAGCTCATGCAGCACCAAATGTATTCACTTAGCTAATGATTGACCTACTGCTATGTTCTAGGCACCAGGGATACCACATGGAGGCGCGCACACAGGCCCTGTTCCCTGGAGCCCTTGGGTTCAAATACTAGTTCTATCTGGGAGTGGGCAGTAGTTGGCCTCCCACCCTTGTGTCCTCAGCCTTTGAGTTAGTTAACATGTGAAGACGCTAAGAACAGCATAAGCACTGCAGAAGAATTTGCTGCTGCTATTATTATTATTCCAGTCATTATTATAAACAGAAAGCTGTTCTGAGCTCAGAAGCGAACTCTCAGCAGGTCCTCCTCTACCCAGAAGAGGTATTCATAGGAACCTGTTAGTCAGAGTGGGAAGGGGCCAAGGGTCATTAAACTAGGTCACTGGTTTGTTTTTTTTTTTTAAGTTTTTTAAATTACTGTAGAGATGGGGGTCTCGCTATGTTGGCCATGTTATTCTTGAACTCTTGGCCTCAAGCAGTCCTCCCGCCTCAGCCTCCCAAAGTGCTAGGATTACAGGCACGAGCCATTGCATCCAGCCACGCTGGGTCACTGTGAACTGAGGCCAGGGTGGACTGCAGAGGTGGGCACATCCCAGCCCCTGAATTCAGGGTCCACCATCACACCTGCTCCTGCCCAGCATCCTGAGAGGGCTGCCCAGAAAAGAGCTTTTACAAACCAGCTATTGACAAGCTCGGAATTTTAGAAACCACTGCCTTCATCGTAAGGGCATAAGGTACAAGGATGAAACTCCCCCTATCTTTACTCTTTCTTAGAACTCTGGGCTTTTAGATCCCAGTGAAAGGGGACCCATCCTCTGGTTGTGAGAACAAGGCCTGTCTTTATGTGTTAAAAAGAGTAACCACTGACAAGGTTTTTTTTGGTCCTTTTAAAATTTACTTTTGACCTGTAATCCCAGGACTTTGGGAGGCCGAGGTGGGTGGATCACTTAGGTTAGGAGTTTGAGACCAGCCTGGCCAACATGGTGAAACCCCATCTCTACTAAAAAATACAAAAATTAGGCCGGGCGCGGTGGCTCACGCCTGTAATCCCAGCACTTTGGGAGGCCGAGACGGGCGGATCACAAGGTCAGGAGATCGAGACCATCCTGGCGAACCCGGTGAAACCCCATCTCTACTAAAAAATACAAAAAACTAGCCGGGTGATGTGGCGGGCGCCTGGAGTCCCAGCCACTCGGGAGGCTGAGGCAGGAGAATGGCGTAAACCCGGGAGGCGGAGCTTGCAGTGAGCTGAGATCCGGCCACTGCACTCCAGCCTGGGTGACAGAGCGAGACCCTGTCTCAAAAAAAAAAAAAAAAATACAAAAATTAGCCAGGCGTGGTGGTGCGCACCTGTAATCCCAGCTACTCGGGAGGCTAAGGCAGGAGAATCACTTGAACCCAGGAAGCAGAGACTGCAGTGAGCCGAGATCACGCCATTGTACTCCAGCCTGGGTGACAGAGCGAGACTCCATCTCAAAAAAAAAAAAAAAAATTACTTTTGGCAAAGAAATGCAGTTTTAGGTTTTTACACATACATACATGCAGCAATTTGTAGCAAGCACAGTGCCTCCATATGGACAAAAGAGCTAAATATTAAGTTAGAATGAAGCTCCGTGTGACTTTCAGCTGTTACAGAGTCAACCATGTGGAGGTAGTCTTCTGAGCTAAGGGTCCAAGCGAGTCCTGGTAGCGTAGCTTGGTGGTGAGTGGAGTCAGAGTGGGCTCTGGAGTCAGACCGCCTGGGTTTGAATCCTGGCTGTGGCAGTCAGCTGTATGACGGCTTAACCTTTCCAGGCTTTAGTTTTGTCATCCGTAAGTCAGGGATATTAGTACCTATGTTTTTGTGTTGCTGTAAAGATCAAGGGGTTGGTATGTGTAAATGCAGAGGACGACAGTATCTGTGCTCAGTAAATGTCAGTTACTGTCACAACATGAAGTGGTCAGTAATTTTGCTGGACAAGAGTCTGATTCCTGGGCTCAGTGAGGCAGTGTGAGGAGCACCCACCCAGGTCCTAACCAGGTGGCATCACGTACATACTCACTGTCAGGCTGTGATTAAAGAGAAAAAGGAGCTTTCTTTGTAAGAATAAAAACAACTTGCCAAGAAAGCCACTTGCCAATGCTGGAAGCATGAAGCGGCATCAAGGATCTGTGTGTTTCCTGGGGAAAACAGTGACATTTGGGTTCTCTGTGCCTCTGGGTCAGATCTTTGACAAGGTCAAGGGTCTGTTGTGTCAGCTGGGCACACAGCACGGCGCACACATCCAGACTGTGATTAGCTCAAGTTGCCAGTGGAGGCTTCAAGGAGGAGATTGCTAGAGAAGAAGTGCAATTAAGAACACCTACTGAGTACATATATACACACTAGCGTATATTAGCCCAAGCAAAGAGAAGGTGTATTAGGGGAAAAAGTTATGGGAGCAACGCAGGAGGGCCAGGCCTGGTTTCATAGGCTGGGGCTGTGGTTGGGGTTGACAGGAGGACTCAGGCAGTGGTACCAGGGAAATCCCTGGTAGAGGATGTGGCCTTGGTGTATAAGCTAATGACCAACAGGAGCACCATGGCCATTGCTAGCACCTGTGGTGCCAATTGGAAAAAGGTGGTCTCCTCTGAGGACACCAGTGAGAAAAAGTCACCCTTTTTTGGGGGAGGACAGGGTTAGGCACAGCATTGTACAGTGACACATAGCTTGGGCAGCAGAACTTGGGCTGGATTTCAACCCTCACTGGTGCCCTTTGGGCCAGTGAACAACCTGTGCAACTGTACATGGTGGCCCTGGAGGCTACTGTGGCTCTTGATCATGATAAGCCAAGAAGAGAACAGATTTGGCAGTGTCAAGAGGTGTCTGAACCGGGCACAATGGCACATGCCTATAGTCATAGCTATTCGGGAGGCTATGGTGGGAGGACCGCTTGAGCCCAGGAGTTTGAGATCAGCCCAGGCAACATAAACCCTGTCTCAAAAAGAAAAAAGTTCCCCCCATTTACATGTAGTCCCCTAGAGATGAGGGGACTGGGATGCTCCTTGCCCGTGGCCACCCCATGGCTGTGCCTCCTCACTATCTGTGTTTTCCTCTCTGGCGGGGCGCGGGGCGGCCCCTAGGTGTCCAGCCACATACAGGTTCTAGCTCGGAAGAAGGTGCGGGAGTACCAGGTTGGCATCAAGGTATGTTGGGTGCCTGGCGGGGGCCTTCAGCCCTCCTGGGCCCCTCACCCACGGCGCTATCTCTGCATAGCTCAGGCCTTTCCTTGGCCAGCTCTCCAGCCCCACTGTGCCTTTTTTCTGGCTGAAGTTCTGTTCCTGCCTCTCCTTCTGCTCTTTCTGTTCTTTCTCTCTTTTTTTCTTTCTTTCTCTCTCTACAGGTCTCTAGCCACTTGCAGGTTCTAGCCAGGCGGAAATCTCGGGAGATTCAGTCCAAGCTGAAGGTATGGGGCCCCTGCCACCCAGCCTGGCCTGCCCAGCACCCTCCTGGGTGCAGGCCTGTCGCTGCTCTGTGGCTCCAGCCTGGGGCAGGCAAGGGGCTGAGAAGCTGTGAGGGGGTCCAGAAAGAAACACAAGTGGCAGCAGGAAGCCCAAGGGCCCTGTCATTGAGGGAGAGGGAGACCATCTGGGGGCCACTAAGGCCCACCCCTCCTCTTCTCTGTTTTTCTTTTTCTCCTTCCTCCTGACTGCTGCTTACTAACCGCATGGGGACTTCTGTGGGCAGGGAGGAGGCCCTGGGGGTACTGGCCGGCAGGGCTATCGAGGTGGGCATGGCAGTTCCTTGCAGATCTGGCTGTCCTGCAACTGTGGATCTCAGAGTCTGGGGTTCATGACTGAGGCCCTTCTCAGGGCCTCATGCTGGCCGTGTGCTCTTCTCCCTGTCCACAGCAGTGCAGCGGAGGGGGCCTCTTACCTCCAGGCCCCCGTGCCCAGAGCCTAGTTCTAGAACATATGGACAGACCCAGAGGGTGCCAACTTGTTTTCCCTCACTCTGCCCTTTCCAGGGCTTGACCCAGCTGGCAGGCACTCCCTCTGGGGAGACAGGGAGGGTCTACTGAGCTTCCTTGGGCTCCTCGGAAGCTAAAACTCATGGGCACTGGGTGGAGGTTGGCGCAAAGACGTCCCTCGCCCCACAGCCCTGGTGCTGCACAAGTCCTCTAATCCGTCTTCCCTCTCTCCCTCGCAGGCCATGAACCTGGTAAGTAGCACGGCCCTCTCCAGTGGGAGCGGGGAAAGGGTCTTAACACCTAATACAGGATTTTCAAATGACAGATTATGAAACCAGCTTAATAGGTGTGCAAGCCTCATTTTTAGAAAACGAAATGGCCGGGCGTGGTGGCTTATGCCTGTAATCCCAGCACTTTGGGAGGCCGAGGTGAGCAGATCACAAAGTCAGGAGATCAAGACCAATCTGACCAACATGGTGAAACCCCGTCTCTACTAAAAATACAAAAATTAGCCGGGCATGGTAACGAGTGCCTCTAATCCCAGCTACTCTGGAGGCTGAAACAAGAGAATTGCTTGAACCTGGGAGGTGGAGGTTGCAGTGGGCCGAGGTTGCGCCACTGCACTCCAGCCTGGGTGACAAAGCAAGACTCCATTTCAAAAAAAACAAAAAAATGAAATACAGTGGTTCTCAAAAAACCTTAGAGTGCATCAGAATTACCTGGAGGCTTATTACAACAAATTTCTGGGCCTCACCTCAGAGTTTCTGATTCAGTAGGTCTGGGCAGGGGCCTGAAAATGTACATTTCTGCTTGGGCATAGTGGCTCATGCCCGTAATCCCAGCACTTTGGGAGGCCAAGGTGGGACAATCCATCGAGCCCAGGAATTTGGACCAGCCTGGGCAATGTAGCAAGACCGCATCTCTACAAATAAAAATTTTTAAAAATAAAAATGTCAGCCAGGCACGGTGGCTCATGCCTGTAATCCCAACACTTTGGGAGGCAGAGGCAGGCGGATGACCTACGGTCAGGAGTTCGAGACCAGCCTGACCAACATAGAGAAACCCCCGTCTCTACTAAAAATACAAAATTAGCCAGATGTGGTGGTGCATGCCTGTAATCCCAGCTACTCGGGAGGCTGAGGCAGGAGAATCGCTTGAACCCGGGAGGCGGAGGTTGCGGTGAGCTGGGATCGTGCCATTGCACTCTAGCCTGGGCAACAAGAGTGAAATTCCGTCTCAAAAAACATAAATAAATAAAAAATTAAAATGTACATTTCTAACACGCTTCCAGGTGATGCTGGTGTGTTAGTCCAGTGACCATACTTTGAGAACCACTGATGAAACAGAATAGAAAATAGGAGAGTAGCTGGTCACGGTCGCTCACGCCTGTAATCCCAGCACGTTGGGAGGCCGAGGCAGGTGGATTACAAGGTTAGGAGATCGAGACCATCCTGGCTAACACAGTGAAACCCTGTCTCTACTAAAAATACAAAAAAAATTAGCCAGGCATGGTGGTGGGCGCCTATAGTCCCAGCTACTTGGGAGGCTGAGGCAGGAGAATGGCGTGAACCCGGGAGGTAGAGCTTGCAGTGAACCGAGATCATGCCACTGCACTCCAGCCTGGGCGACAGAGCCGAGACTCCGTCTCAAAAAAAAAAAAAAAGAAATAAAATAGGAGAGTACATGACATAAAGAGGAAATATCTTGATATATATTGGCCTTTGGAATAAAAATAATTTCTTTTTTTTTTTTTTTTGAGACGGAGTCTCGCTCTGTCGCCCAGGCTGGAGTGCAGTGGCCGGATCTCAGCTCACTGCAAGCTCCGCCTCCCGGGTTCACGCCATTCTCCTGCCTCAGCCTCCCGAGTAGCTGGGACTACAGGCGCCCGCCACCTCGCCCGGCTAGTTTTTTGTATTTTTTAGTAGAGACAGGGTTTCACGGTGTTCGCCAGGATGGTCTCGATCTCCTGACCTCGTGATCCACCCGTCTCGGCCTCCCAAAGTGCTGGGATTACAGGCTTGAGCCACCGCGCCCGGCCTAAAAATAATTTCTTACCGTGGTTGTGGTCAGCGGTGATGGGCACTTGGGGACCTGAGGCCAGGAAGGTACAGAGACTCTCCCAAGATCACACAGCAGAGCTGGGGCTGGAATCCAGGCCTGGATCTTGGGGAACACCTGCCATCCTAGTGCTTTGGATTCTGCCCGGGTTATGGGAGGGGCCCTAAAGCAAATCTGGGCCTCATCCAGCCTGGCCCTGGCTTCATGCAGCCCCTTCTCCCCAGGACCAGGTCTCCAAGGACAAAGCCCTTCAGAGCATGGCGTCCATGTCCTCTGCCCAGATCGTCTCTGCCAGCGTCCTGCAGAACAAGTTCAGCCCACCCTCCCCTCTGCCCCAGGCCGTCTTCTCCACTTCCTCGCGGGTACATGGGTCCCAGGAGGTGGGCTGGTGTGGGGGTGTGCCATAAAGGATGAGCTTTAGTGGGGTTCATGGATGCTGAGGGGCCCCTGGGCCTTGTCTCATCCCTGCAGTTCTGGAGCAGCCCCCCTCTCCTGGGACAGCAGCCTGGACCCTCTCAGGAGTGAGTACTGTGGCTCATCGTCCTATGCCCTCTTCCTCCTGGCAGCCGCACAGGGCTTCCCTCCCATTTGGGCTCCGGCAACAGCTGAGCAAAGTATTAATTCAAAAATAGAGGGATGACAGGGATGCAGGCTGGGTGGTGGCTCACACCTGTAATCAGTCCTAGCACTTTGGGAGGCCGAGGTGGGAGGCCTGGGCAACATGGCAAGACCTGCTCTCTCAAAAAAAAAACCAAAAAAGAAAAAAATTAGCTGGGTGAGGTGCGTGCCTGTAGTCCTAGCTACTTGGGAGGCCGAGGCAGGCTAGGATTGCTTGAGCTCAGGAGTTCCCGAGTTCCAGGCTGTAGTGAGCCTTGATTGCACCATTGCAACTCCAGCCTGAGCAACAGGGGGAGACCCTGTCTCTGAAAAAAAAAAAAAGCTGGAGAGCGGCAACAGGAGAGTGGATGCTCTGGCTGTTCACCTGTGCGTTCTCTCATCAGCATGCGTCCACTTGTCATCTGTCCCTTTGTTTACTTTTCACTCAGTTTCTGAGGCAGTCTCTCAGTTAACCAGTCAGGTGGTCAAGTGTGCTGGTTCTTCAACTCTAAAACAACTTTCATCAAAAGACCCTCAGCTTAAGGAGCTTAAGGAGCAGCTTTTCATGGTGGGGCGTGGGGAGGGTTGAAATCCTACATTAAATGCGCAGATCAGCTGGGAGACGCAGCAGGATTTCACAAAAGCTAAAACGTGAAGAAAACCAAAAGCTTGCGAGTTAGCTTTTCAGCATGCGTTTCTGGGCTCAGCAGAAGGGCTGTGTGGCTTGCTCCTGGGGTCTTGGAAGAGGGGCTGGGCCAGGTGGAAGGTGGGGAAGAGGGAGCCCTCTCACCAGACTGTGCTTTTGTCTGCAGCATCAAGCCCTTTGCACAGCCAGCCTACCCCATCCAGCCGCCCCTGCCGCCGACGCTCAGCAGTAAGTTCCCCACACGAGGTGCTCTCCCTTGGCACTTGCACCTCCGCTCAGGAGAGCTGGGGTCCAACTGCGTGTGTTTGCTTTGGGAGGGAGGGGGTTGTGACATCTATAGGAGACTGAGACAGGCCAGGAATAGCCCCTTTACCTTGTACAATGTTGTTCCAGATCTCTGGCACAAAACCATAGCCAAGCTGGGCGTGGTGGCTCACGCCTGTAATCCTAGCACTTTGGGAGGCTGAGGCAGGTGGATCACCTGAGGCCAGGAGTTCAAGACCAGCCTGACCAACATGGTGAAACCCTGTCTCTACTAAATACAAAAATTAGCTGGGTGTGGTGGCGCATGGCTGTAGTCCCAGCTACTTGGGAGGCTGAGGCAGGAGAATCACTTGAACCCAGGGAGTGGAGGTTGCAGTGAGCCAAGATTGTGCCATTGCACTCCAGCCTGGGCAACAAGAGTGAAACTCCATCTCAGAAAAACAAAAAACCATAGCCGGTACACAGCTACAAGCACACACCACCAAAACCTACATTTATACACATCTCTATGGGTAGGAAACTCCCAATAAGGAAATGCACCGAAATTTTAACAGGCCTTTCTCTCTCTAGATGATGGGATTCTGGGTAATTGTTCTTTCTCTTTTTTACTTCTCTGTGTTTCCTGTTTAAACACACATTAATAGTCACACAAGGAAATGTTTTTGATGTATACTACCAGGGCCACCATATATGGTTGTGCAGGTGGTACACTGTACAAGGACACCTAGTAGGGGAGTCAAAATCCAACCCATGTTCCTTGCCAAAAGGGGCACCTTTGCAGGCTGGGGGCAGCTTTGTCAGTAAGCACCTACATGCGTCCATGCAGATGAGAATCTGTCTCACCCTCCCAGGTTATGAGCCCCTGGCCCCGCTCCCCTCAGCTGCTGCCTCTGTGCCTGTGTGGCAGGACCGTACCATTGCCTCGTCCCGGCTGCGGCTCCTTGAGTATTCAGCCTTCATGGAGGTGCAGCGAGACCCTGACACGGTAATGTGTTTGGGGGTGAGAGTGAGCCTTTGCACAATTGTGGAGAGGCCAGCCAGGTGATCCAGAACTGCAACTCAGGATGCTGGGATTGGGGGTCTGGCCTGTTCAGGAAGCTCCAGGCAGTTCTGCACCTGTGCAGTGCTCCCTTCCCCGCCTCCGGGCCTGCAAGCCTGAGTACTCTCCTGACCCTGTCTGGGCCCTCCCCACAGTACAGCAAACACCTGTTTGTGCACATCGGCCAGACGAACCCCGCCTTCTCAGACCCACCCTTGGAGGCAGTAGACGTGCGCCAGATCTATGACAAATTCCCCGAGAAAAAGGGGGGACTGAAGGAGCTCTATGAGAAGGGGCCCCCTAATGCCTTCTTCCTTGTCAAGTTCTGGGTGAGTCCCCCTGGCCCTCTCTGCTCCAAGCCCCCTTCCCTACCACAGAGGTGCAACATCCAGGCCCACTGCATTGACCTCTGACCCTGCTCCATCTCCTCGTGGCTTGTGAGCAGAGTGCCAGAGATGGATCTTTGGGCAGGACTCTGATGTGGTGTGGCGGGAATACTTCTGGTCTCTGCCAGCACCTAACACCCCCGACCCCTATGCCCAGGCCGACCTCAACAGCACCATCCAGGAGGGCCCGGGAGCCTTCTATGGGGTCAGCTCTCAGTACAGCTCTGCTGATAGTATGACCATCAGCGTCTCCACCAAGGTGTGCTCCTTTGGCAAACAGGTGGTAGAGAAGGTGGAGGTGAGTGTGGGCTCTGGGTGGCTTGGTGGGGCTGGGAGCAGGCAGGCTGAGTGATGCCTTCTCCATGTTCTCTGCAGACTGAGTACGCCAGGCTGGAGAACGGGCGCTTTGTGTACCGTATCCACCGCTCGCCCATGTGCGAGTACATGATCAACTTCATTCACAAGCTGAAGCACCTGCCTGAGAAGTACATGATGAACAGCGTGCTGGAGAACTTCACCATCCTGCAGGTATGGGGGCAGCAGGGTTGTGGGGAGTCCCACAGGCCAGGGCCTCCAAGTTAGGTAGCCAGACACATCGCTGGGATGAGAGGCACAGATCCAGAAAGGAGAATGGTCTGCTCAGCCCCCTGCCCCATGGCCCTGTTCTCCCTGACCTCCTGAATCTCTTACCTGCTCGCCCCCCAGGTGGTCACGAGCCGGGACTCCCAGGAGACCCTGCTTGTCATTGCTTTTGTCTTCGAAGTCTCCACCAGCGAGCACGGGGCCCAGCACCACGTCTACAAGCTCGTCAAAGACTAGGGTGCTCTCTGCGCCTCCATAAGGATGCAGGGTGAGCATCTCCTCTCCACACCTGCCTGGCACCCCTGGGGGGGTCCAGGATTGAGGATTCATCTACCTGCCAGGCCTCAGGCCCAGGACCAGGAGGCCTCCCCACCTACCCCAGCACATACACTCCCTGCCACTGTTCTGCGCTTTAATTGTGGGAGAAGAGAGGAGAGGAGGGCTCAGCGGTGGGGCAGCCTGTCTGGGGCGCTGGCCCACCATCACCCCGCTCTGCCAAACCTCGCGTGACCTCAGAGAGGTGGGGATAGGGGACACCTTCAGCCTCCGGCATGTGTGGCCACTGCCCCCTCACCCCCCGTTGGGGAAGCGTGATGGGCAGGTGAGGGCAGGATGGAGACCAAGGGAGTCAGTGAGTGGAGGCCCTGGGAAAGGAGAGTGTCCGGTTAGGGTTGGGCTGAGGACAGAGGGGACCATACATCTTTGCCCCTCTGTGTCCCAGGCCTGGTGCCCAGACTCCTTGCATGGCTTATGCAGTCCTCAGACTCTGCACAGCGAGTGTGGGTCTCTGGGTTTCAGATGAAGTGCCCAGGCTCCAGGAAGTTGAGGGACCCACAAGAGAGGTGGGCAGAGCTGGAGTTCTCATCCAGGGCTGCTTGTCCCCAGAGCCCAGGTTTACACTACCTCCCTGGGGCGGGGGCTGGCCGCAGGGTAGGGGAGAGGCTCTGCAGTGTGAGGGGTGGAGCCTCATTGAGGGCAGCTGGGTTAGGGGAGCACCTGTTTCAGACTGGGCATGAAGAGGGGAGCACAGTAGCTACTAGACCCCATTGGCACCCCACAAGCCAGCCAGGGGCCCCAGGAAAATGGGGCACCCCCCAGCACCCTCCAGATTGAGGGCAAGGTAGAGGAAGGAGTCCCAGCCTCTGGGCAGACCAGAGGCCCAGAGAGAGGGGCTAGCAGAAGGCTTTTGGGTTTTCTCTTGCCTGAGGCTTGGATCTGACAAACGCTTTGTGGGCACTGCTCCCTTAGATTCTTCCCCACCTCAGTCTACCTGCCTAGAGTAGCAGCGCCCAGACCCAGTTCTGGGACTGAAGGTTAACCCTTCACCTGCTGCCCCTTCTCAACACCCAGGCCCCCAGAGCCAGCCGGGCCTGTCCAGCAGCCACCTGTGGGTATTTATGAGTTTCATATGAAGTACTGTGCCCCTTCCCTTCCTCATCCCGACCCTGCCCGAGCTTCCTGAAGGTCCTCACCGTTTGCATATCGCTCAGGCCACCTCCAAACCCCACCTAGGTTTTATAATGTATATTATATATTTTTTTTGTGTATTTTTAAAATCCAGCTGTGATGGGTTGTATCATAAATGCAGCTTGGGGTTGGAGCAGGGGCCATCAAGGCCCAGCTCCTGCTCAAAAAAAAAAAAAAAAAAAATTAAAAGTTATTTGTTTGTGGGTCACTCAAGTAACCAGTTAATGTGCCAGACCCTGGGATTGCAACAGCTTCAGTTGAGGGCTCCTCCCAGGTCCTGGTATATCATCACCCCCAACCCCTGCAATGCCATCTCCTGGGGGGCCCCAAGCCCTACGCACACTCAACATTTCCCTCATTCCCTCCTGCTTCCAGCTGAGCACTTGTATGTGCTGGCCTGAGGTCACCTGAGGGAAGTGATTTGCTCAAGGTTGCACACTGACTGAGATGGAAGCTCCAGGGCCCCCTGCTAAGCCAGCACAACACAGACCAAAGCCTGGGGGTTAGCAGTTGACCCTAAGTGACTCAAGGAGGGTAGGCGCTCTCCCCAGGTGACAGCTGCTGACCTACCATGTCTGCCTGGAAAGCCCTGCTGTCCTGAGCCACCTGTCCTCAGTAGGGACAGACCAGAGTCCTTAGCGGGCTGGGGCAGAGACAGTCCAAGACTTTCAGCGGCCAGGCACAGTGGCTCACACCTGTAATCCCAGCACTTTGGGAGGCTGAGGTGGGTGGATCACGAGGTCAGGAGATCAAGACCATCCTGGCTAACATGGTGAAACCCCGTCTCTACAAAAAAAAAAAAAAATACAAAAAGTTAGGCGGGTGTGGTGGCACGCGTCTAAAGTCCCAACTACTTGGGAGGCTGAGGCAGGAGAATAGCTTGAACCCGGGAGGTGGAGGTTGCAATGAGCCGAGATTGCACCACTGCACTCCAGCTTGGGTGACAGAGCTAAACTCCATCTCAAAAAAAAAAAAAAAAAAAAAAAAAACTTTCAGCGAACATTTTCTCAAGAGACTGTTCCAGCTTTTTCAAACTGCAGTTAAATATGGGTGAACTGATTGGACTCACTTGTCACAGGATGAAACTGTATTTGCTCTGAGGGTGGCAGGCTAGAGATAAGACTCTAGAATAAAGGGTTAAACAGAATGGGGATGACCCAGTTAAATTTTATTTCAGATAAACAGATGATTTAAGTATGTTCCATGCAATACTAAGGACATCCTGCATTTTTATTTATTTGCTAAATCTGGCAACCCTCTAGAATCTAGTCTTCTAGGTCATTCTAGTCCAACCTTCAAGTTAACACATGGGGAGAACTTGAGACATGTTAAATGTACTTCTCACAGCCAGTCACTGCCAACATCGATTCCAACCTGGTCTGCCTGACTCCACATTGTGTGCCTGGTATCCCACTAGGGAGCCCCAAACTGTCCTGCTGGATGGATGGATGGGAGGGTACCCAGAGCTCCAGTAGGTAGGAGGGGTCCAGGAGGCAGAAATTCCTTTGTTGGAGGATCCACTGGATACCGATTACATCTGTGGGTGATTAGCACACAAGAGCCTTCAGATAATTGCTTTTGCTTTAAGCTAAAGTTTCCCTTTTCCTTCTGATTGCAAAGATCACAGGAGGTTTAGAAAATACAGAAAAACCCAAAGAAAAAGTAACCTAAACAAGTAGCTGGCTGGACTTGTCTTTAGAACCAAAATTCACTGCTCATCCTCATTAGGTTTTATATCTTACCAACAAAGTGCTGTAACTAGCCGGGCGCAGTGGCTCACGCCTGTAATCCCAGCACTTTGGGAAGCTGAGGTGGGCGGATCACGAGGTCAGGAGATCAAGACCATCCTGGCTCACACGGTGGAACCCCGTCTCTACTAATTAAATACAAAAAAAATTAGCCGGGCATGGTGGCGCACACCTGTAATCCCAGCTACTCCGGAGGCTGAGATAGGAGAATGGCGTGGACCCGGGAGGCAGAGCTGGCAGTGAGCTGAGATGGCGCCACTGCACTCCAGCCTGGGCTACAGAACAAGACTCCGTCTCAAAAAAAAAAAAAAAAAAAAAAAAAAAAAGGAAAGTGCTGTAACTTAAAAGCTAAAAGCTAAAAAAGCAAAAGCTGCTCAGAGTGAAAACCCTGTTCTTCAGTTCAGGGACAGGGAAAGCTTGTTTTGAGAAATGCGGCATCTCCCCCAGACCACCACTGATGACTCTTGGTGTCACCCAGGCTGGAGTGCAGTGGCGCAATCTCGGCTCACTGCAACCTCCACCTCCCGGGTTCAGTTTTGCCTCAGCCTCCCAAGTAGCTGGGATCACAGGCGTGAGCCACCATGCCCGGCCAAAATGCAGCATTTTTAAGCACTACTTTTATGCTTTAAAGTAACCCTTCTCAGCTGGGTGTGGTGGCTCATGCCTTTAGTCCCAGCACTTTGGGAGGCGGAGGCAGGCAGATCACAAGGTCAGGAGATTGAGACCATCCTGGTTAACACGGTGAAACCCCGTCTCTACTAAAACTACAAAAAAAAAATTAGCCAGGTGTAGTGGCAGGTGCCTGTAGTCCCAGCTACTCAGGAGGCTGAGGCAGGAGAATGGCGTGAACCCGGGAGGCAGAGCCAGCAGTGAGCTGAGATTGTGCCACTGCACTCCAGCCTGGGCAACAGAGCGAGACTCCGTCTCAAAACAGTAATAATCCTTCTCAGCTAGTCATGGTGGCTTATGCCTGTACTCCCAGCACTTTGGGAGGCTGAGGTGTGTGGATCACTTGAGGTCAGGAGTTCAAGGCCACCCTGGCCAACATGGTGAAACCCTCTCTACTAAAATAAAAAAAAAAGTTTAGTTGGCCGTGGTAGTATGTGCCTGTAATCCAGCTACTTGGGAGGTTGAGGCAAGAGAATCCAGGAGGCGGAGGTTGCAGTGAGCAGCGATCACGCCACTGCACTCTAGTCTGGGTGACAAAAGGGAAACAGGGATGAGGCTAGGCGTGGTGGCTCATGCCTGTAATCCTAACACTTTGGGAGGCTGAGGCAGGCAGATCACAAGGTCAGAAGATTGAGACTATCCTGGCTAACACAGTAAAACCCCATCTCTACTAAAAAAATACACAAAATTAGCCAGGTGTGGTGGCATGTGCCTGTAGTTCCAGCTACTTGGGAGGCTGAGACAGGAGAATGGTGTGAACCCAGGAAGTAGAGCTTGCAGTGAGTTGAGATGGTGCCACTGCACTCCAGCCTGGGAAACAAAGCGAGACTGTCTCCCAAAAAAAAAAAAAAAAAAAAAAAGCAGGGATGAACTGGGTCCCCTGTTTAAAAACAAAGTCAAACAAAGCTGATTTTAGTCTAAGGTTAAATAAAGCAGGTATCTCCCAAAAGCCACCTTTCCAGTACTGGGTGCTAGAGGCAAGAACTGCCAACAGGGAAATGCCTCAGAAAAGGAGGGGGCTTAGCCTGCCTGGGGCAAGGACCTGGAATACTGTTGGTTCCCCTAGAAAAATTAACAGGATCTGGCTGGGGACAGTGGCTCATACCTGTAATCCCAGCACTTTGGGAGGCCAAGGCAGGCAGATCATGAGGCCAGGAGACCAGCCTGACCAACATGGTGAAACCCCATCTCTACTAAAAATAGAAAAATTAGCTGGACATGGTGGTGCGTACCTGTAATCCCAGCTGTTAGGGAGGCTGAGGCAGAATTGCTTGAACTGGGACCCAGAGATTGCAGTGAGATCACACCACTGCATTCCAGCCTGGGCTACAGACTCATCTCAAAAAAAAAAAACAAAAAAAAAACCCAAAACCAAGGTCTGTTAATTAATTACACTTTTGTACTGGTTTGCTGTGCGCCTTGTTTTCCTTAACATTTACTCATTACTGACCTAAAGCATAGGATACTCCATGTGGGGCCTTGTTAAGACAGAAATGCTGACTAAAATCCTTATTTTAAATTTACATGGACCAATCCTGTCAAAAAGCTTTAATGCCGTTAGCACCCTATCACATACCCAAGACTGCCTAATTTTGATGGCAGAAAAACATCCTCTTCCCTGTAGTACCCAACTATCCATCATCAAGATGACAAACTACACAACGAGCCATGGCAGTGCCAAGGCCCTCACTTGTCAGCTGACAAACCACCCCTCACCCTCAATCACAGGCAGACAGAGGGGACTGGTAACAGAATTTATTCAAATGTGCCTTAATATAGGCGCTGGGGCTTGCCCATGGTGCTCTTGATATATAAGGCCCGGACATTCTGCCAGTTTTTCTTGAGCAATGACACCAAGAAGTTGACAGCCAGGTGAATGTTATACACAAGCTCATCGTCTGTCATCTTCACGTGACCAACAGCTACAGCCAGACATAACACCTGGGAGGACAGAAGAGAGGATCAAGTCAGGTTGGTGGAGGAATGGCAAATGGCCTGTCCCTCCCTCACTGGCCTAGTGAGCAGGTACTTGGACCCGGGCCAAGGAAGGACCAGGGTTACTCCAAAAATTTCAATCCTGGTGGGT